CTACGTGGCCGTATTAATTACGATATTCTGAAATTATTCAAATATCATACCGCGTACGAACAAATTATATGCACCCCGCGCGTACTAATGAGCTCTTTATATTTACTACAGAATTACTTTCCGCGCAAATACGAATCTGAGCGTGAACGATTTTAGGGAGACGGTAAATCACTTGGATTAAGTCGTGTTAAACCGTACCGAAAGCTGCGGTTTTGATATACACGTATACGGATAAGTTGTCTGGTAAATTACGATCGATATGTGGTAGAAACGACGTGTCGACGATCCTCATTTTTCTCCGCCGCTCTAAATAATGAAAGTCAACCCAGTCTTGGCAAATACCGGCCAGACGAGGAATTGTTGCGTGCTACCTTGCGCTCCTGTCGTGTTCGTTTTCGTTCGTTCGGCCTGTCTTCGAAAGACAACCGTCCTCGTCGGTGTATTGAACTTTCTTCCTGCGATTAAATATTTAACGCCTGGATCGATACAGTTCCGTACATCCACGGTCTGCGACACGAGCTATCCGGCTGTTCTATGCGAGACTCTTCTACTGACCAGTCCGAGAAATTACCAACCGACCCTTTGCTTTCCTCGTACGCAAACACGTTCGTGTATGTCACTCTCAATCTACTTCATCCTCCCCTTTCAAGCGACTAAAAACATTTTCCTGTAGGAGACAGTCGAAGTGGGCGGCACCCTTGCAAAAATATCTCGGATACCCCTGAAACAGGTCTCTCGAAAGTTCGCTTACTTCGACGCAAACGTAAAGATTTCAATCGTTCGCAAAGTGATTTATCGCATAGTTGCTAGTAATTTTATGGAGAAAATTACCCGATGTACTCGTGCTTCGAGTCTAGGGGTCGATACGCAAAAAAACCATGGTATGCTATCGGTGAAATCCACGACACGGCTCGCGGTATAGGTACCTCAAAATTGATCGTATAAATGCATAAGCGACGTTTCTTTCTCCTAGACAGTTCTTCCTGGGATCGATATACGAAAGGCGCGTAAATGTCAATATTTATTGACGCGAACCCCTGTATCCCTCGACGATGATTGCCTTTGCCGTAGTTCACCTACCTGTCCTAACACCCACCGCTTTACGTCCCTTTACCTTTTCTAACTCTCGCACGATATGTCATGCCATTTTCTTGGAGCACGTTATAATTTATCTTCGGCAGTAATGTCACGCCAGAAATGTAAAAACGGATATTTGTGACCGTGATTTATTACGCGAAACGTTTTAAAAAGATTAAAGATATGAATGTCGTTAAAATTCTAAAAGATCTTGTTTCGCGAATCTCCGCGCGCGGAAAAATATTACATAAAAATCGACGTAACCGAAATACATAAAGGAATGTCTGCCAGCGTTTGAAAAAACGACGTTCTTTAAGCGAACGTTATTTTAATTTATTCGTTTGAAATGCGCTTGCATTTGTTACGCACGAACAACTAGAATTTATTCAATAAGTTACCGCTATGCCACACCGACGTTGTGGATAGACGTTGTCTATAGAAATGAGTATGTAGATTCAAATGTAGCATAAGATAAAAAGATTTTTCAGAGACGGTGGTTCCATACCCGAGCGGTACTTTTGTTCTGCGGTACATAGAGCTTTTAAACTGGTTGTCCCAGTTCTTCCTGAATTTTAATTCTAAAATATTGTACTACTTACATTTTCTAGCCATTCTTATTTTTATTACAATTATTTTTCCCCTTTCTCCTTTTTTTGGGGGGGGAATAAATTAACGAACCCGAGGACATTGACCGCGCACATAAAACGCAAGGTAAAGGCAAATTGGCTTAACAAGATTAAGTTGGTTTAAATATACCTCTAACGGTGACAACAATTTGAATTCAAATGTAGTGGAGCTCTTACGAGCACGAGAGATAAAAATATAAATATCAATGAAGCTAATGATTACGACGTGTCGCGTGTGTTTAATATTTTAATTACAATTTGAAACGGTTCTCTCGCATTTTATAATAAATTATTTTAGTCAACTCTGACATACGCGATTAATTTGACGTGTTCTTGTCGGCTCGTTAGAACGTCGCTTTTGATCGCGGTAGATTATATCGAAATGCGGTTTTCTTTACGAGAAAACTGATCAAAGGATATTAGTCAATCGTGTTTCTCATATACATAAACGGAGATTACTTGGTCAGAGTACAGTTCATACCGGTTAACGAGCTGACCGCATGGGGCAACACAGTTGACTTACGTCGTGACCGTACTGTGATCTTGCATTTGCGGCTAATCAGCAACTGAGATTGGTTTCAAAGGACTTACAACTAGTATCAAATGCTCCCATTTGGCATTTGCTTCTAATGTTAATACGCGGATGATACAGATATGTCTTGGTGCATCTTGATACCGGGATTATATTCCGAACCCTTAATGCCCTAATGCCTTCCTAACTATTTAATGAAAAAATGGCAGAAACACGGGAAAATGTTAATTCAATATCGTAATGCGCATTAAAGAGTAATTTCATCTACGCGATATCGAAAATTTATCGATTTTCATTAATCATCCTCGCAACTCGCCCCGTGTCGGAACGAACGTATAGAATAGCGTGTATCTATTTAATCATTTTTATCATGCAGTACTTTGAAATCGATGTATACAACTCGTCAGAAGCGCGCGTTCAGCTCTCGCACGGATGAATCTTTAACTTCATCAGCTTTTACAGTAGGTTTGCTCGAGTCGCGTCGAGCATCAAACAGAAAATGCAAGTCAGTTGGCCAATCCATTAAAACCATTTCATTGGAGACTTGCTGCGTAACGTCTATAACTCGGCTGACTTGCACTACGTCGGTGATATTTCAGGTAGCGTATGACGAACACTTATAACGCTCTCCTTTTTTACGTTATTTCAGTACGTGGGCAGAAAGTACGAGGGAAAAGATCGGAAAAGGTAACATATCCGGTAGGGAATTCGGCTTATCCTTTCTCAGCTTATCCGAATGCGGAAGGAACTTCTGTCGCCATTTTAATCCACTCGCCGCGTGCCTGGAATACTGGATTTTTAGAAACAGTAGGAACTGGTTGCGTTGTTTGGCGTAGATTCTAAAACGCTGGAACCGTAACTACGGCTTCCCGTTTAAAATTGCCCGATAATGGCCGCTGCGGTTTCGGATTGACGGCCGGTTCTTTTGTAGGTGCGCCAGGGTGTACGGTCGTGCAAACACGCTTTCATTCGTTCGTTCGTTTTTGACCAATCCTGTCATCGAATTGTCTGTCCAACGTTGTTTCGCGTGCGCGTTTGTTCGTCAGTTTCGCAACTTTACAAGCAATAACCAAAAGCGTGCGGGACAGGTTTATGACTAGGCGCGGTGGTCCTTACGCTTTCGCATTACGCCTGACTGACAGCTGCGGTCGGATCCTTGCGATGCGTGTCAGCGCTTTACGAGCCACGGGTCTTCTTATCAAGGTTCGTCGTACAACAGGCAAGATTGCTTTAAATTCGAAATGCCAACCGCTCCCTTTATCCGGGGTTTCGTAGTTAAACCCTGGATTAAGTTTATTAAGACAGTAGAAAGGAATAATGACCCATATTTAGCGTCACGCGCTAGCTTTGCCATAGTTCTTCGCAACCAAGAGTTTTTCCACCTATCAATTGACCGTTTGTCGATATTCGTATAAAAAACACCGGGAGAGTCGAGAATAGAATCCTACAGACCATGGTGGATACATAAATACAAGCAGTCAGGTGTCAAAGTGAGAAACTCCACGATTCTTTATACACTGGCTATTTTTAGTCCATCGCCGTGACGCTTTTATTCCGCGAGACATGTGTTACGGTTCTCTTCTATATCCCCAACCTTTATATCTAGCACCTTGACTGACGATTCCTGATTGCTACAAGTAAGTATTAAACTATCGATCTTACCATACAGTTTCTTAGCCAGAGAACTTTTCAGAGAACTTGGCATTTTTCGACGGTTTCATCCCACGTATTATAGTTCATTCGTTTCTTCTCTGTACACTCAGACACGCCGATCGTACGAACGTTATAATACCATTACCAGTTGGTATTCCAACTTATTTATCCTGATTCGGAATTATGGTAAGATGGTTCTATTTCTACGTCGAAAGTACGAACAGTGACCCGGAGAAGAATTAATGAATTACTCGCAATGAATTACGCAAACTGCAACGTAGCCTCGCGTCTCATGCTTGCCAGCGGGGCACGGTTCACCCTATTACTCAGGCAACTTTAAAATGGAATTCTATTTTGTTGGTATTTAAAGTGATTTATGAGTTCGTTCCTATTTACGAAACAGATGTCTACTGACCCCGCGGTGTCTGTCGTCATTAAAGAACAATCCGTAAGAAAGAAAACTGTATTTCCCACTGGAGCGAGGGCACGTTTTGAAAAGGTAGGAACTGCAGACAAACTAGGCACTCTCTAACTCGTTGCGCGGGTGGAACGGAGATAGAATAAGTAGGTTAACGAAATGGTCGTTCGCAAGCTTGAGATACCGCCACCAATTTCAGTGGCCCTCAACTCGATTCGAAGTTTGTCCTGGCCGGTAGGATCCCCATGGTGGAACGCGCCACGAAGCGACAACAATTTTCCAGTCGGTTGTTTCTCCTTCGTGCCGCCACGCATGCATGCACAAAATGTACTTTGCACGTAAGCCTCGGAAACGGAAGATCTCTAGCTCTTAGGAAGGTCTACCAGCTGGGCCGGGATTCCGCTCGCGGCGCGCCGGAGGAACGGAAAGGAACGAAAGGAAGAATTATCGGGAGCCACCGTTGGGAACGGGGTCTGCTTGATTAGGGCATACAAGAAAGACATTCCATCGGTGAATTCCTCGCGATCTGTTTTTCGACCAGTGTCCGCCCGTTTCGCTTCAGCGTTAATTACGTTATTATCGACACGAGTCCTGAATAACTTTTCTTTTTCCTACGTCCACCATGCTTCTTGCGTGGCCCTCGTTCTCCATCTTAGTTTATGTAGGAATAGGTAGCCGGACAAGAGAACGATTATTTTCATTACGGATTTGATTGCTTAATTTTATTACTCTTCTTTACATAACATGGCATTAAGTACAAATGGAAAGCGAAACGAATCGATTATTCGTATCGCGAGTTATTTTACGGAAAGCAATAAATAATCTTTGACTTGCACGTTGTCTTCGTAAAGTATATCTAAACAGCTTCGCTGGTTTCGGCGATGCAGCTTACGGTCTCGAATACAACTCAACGATGAAGTGGATTCCATGGTTCCTCTGGCTCTTGAAGCGAAGGGTAACGTTCTGGTATCCTGGACCACCCCTGAGAAGGCTGGCGTACGCACCGGTACCATCGGTTTTCTGATCAAGGATCCGGACCATAGTAATTCTTTCCCATCTGCTGGTATTGAAGGTCATCTCGTCTGAAACGATTTGCCAGAAGGCAGATTTCTTCACGACGGATTGTCTGAGTACCAGTCTGTCGCCAGGCATTCTGAACCCAACGATCAAGTCGTGAGACTTGTTCGAGTTGTTGGCGGCATATGGACCGACTTGAGGAACCGAACTGACTTGTGCATTAAATACAAATATGGCTGCAATAGCCAAGTAAAGAAGCACACTTGGACCAGACATGATCGGCGTTTATAAACTTTTCGTATACACTTATAAACTCGGTAGTTTTACTCTTGTCGCCTCGGTGCTGCAGACTGAGCTTCGATACCAGCTGGCTGCTTAAATATCTGCACCGATCAACTTATCAGTTTGCTCACTTATCACGGTGTGTTTGTAGCGGTATATGTTCTCGTTCTGGAAAGGTTTATTCTAGGAATACAAGGTTGTGGATGATGTTTTCGCGTTAAGTTTACTGCGTGATGCTATCGATCGATTATCGTTTGCGATAAATGATCGTTTTCGCGGAATTAAATATCAATTATTACGAGCCGAGTAATCTAAGTAACGGTATCGTAAATAGATTACAAACGCTAAAGTATCTATCGTGTTGGATGATATTAGAATTTTTAGACCTGAACGTGATGCATCTTAAAGTAGTACGAACTATATATGATTATTCGTAGTTTGTTCAATTTCCTCACGCTTTGTACGATTCACCAATTTGTACGCGAATGTTGACATCGTTCCTTCGTTCTTGACTCATTTCCAGAAACGTTATTGTACACGCGATGTTCTGTGTGTTATTCGCAAACACCGTTATCTCTCTGCTTTCGAGAAATGCGAAAGACACTGTGCGCGTATCTCTATGATTATCGATATTCAATTATTCGTTTCCCGGAAATTCGAGGTAGCCTAATAATTCCCGAAACAACTCGTAGACCTAAATCTTTTCAGATGCAGGCGATAATCATCGTTATCAAAGATAGACCACCGTGTGTAAGGTGTTTGGCCTCAATCTCGTAATAGACGGTGATCTCTATAATTCATGAGCAACCCAACTCTATCTAATGCTGCATCCTGCCGTGTGTACTCTGCTCACATGCACGCACACGTCTTCGGATTCCATGCACCTTCGATGGCTTGCGTTCGCAAACTCACGGCGCGAGGCCTTTGAAAGCATCCACGTAACGTATTATCGAATAGTTTAACTGGCGCGCGTCTAAATAACTGCAAAAATAATTTAAATAACTAATTACGCGAACGCAACGAGATTTCGTGCGCGGGAAAAGCATGTTTGCTCGCGTTTTAATGATGTTGTCGCTTCCGCGTATTTTGTGTGCGTAATACGGACAATTAGATTTATCCGCGAATAAATATTTGCCTTTCTGTTCACGTGTCGCGTGTTCATTCGCTAGGATTTCGAGCACATTCTTTCCTATGCATTTTCCAAATTTTCTTACGCGTCACGTCAGACCGCGGAATCTCGCATTTGGCGCCCTACATTACGGGCTCTACTACCGACTGCGAGTGCTGGAGCCGCTTTGTCAAGGCCGTTGTAGGTTGTTTGCTCAGATGCTTGTTAACCGTGTGAGCATCCAATATGTTACCTCGTGTATGCACTTAGGTCCTGCATCGAGAGTAGATTCACTCGGATCATTAAGTCAATTGCTGGATACACGATGACAGAATATCGCTGCTAACAATCGTGAAATGCATTCGAAGACAGACGTTGTTTCGCTAACGGACCGTTTACTTAACTCTCGATCAAAAAAAAAGAAAAGAAAAAAACGGAAAAAATGGCAATTATTTTCTTTTCTTTCCTCGAAACGAGATATAAATGAAATTGATTTGAAAATTCGAACAGAGGTTTCGTTCCCATCAATTTTTCAGCGGGATGACGCGAGTGCGTGATGGCGACTAGAAAATTGCAAGATTCCCGGTATATAGAGACGCGTGTATTCCAGGAGACCACCAACGTGGAAGTCTTGCGTTCGGATACAGGTATAAGCTATCTATATTCCCACGCGGCCATTTACAAAGATGAAGACACAAGTAGAAGAGGCAAGTCTTCGCTTTCCAACCTACAAACGATGGTGCACGACACGGATGCGCCAGCATTCTTCGCTCGAGGAAGAAACATCGACTCCGGGGTCATTCGCGCCTAGTCCGCTGGACTGAAGACGTTCTCCGAGTTCACGAATCATCGGCAAGACGCTTTAGCCATTAATTATCCGTTTGTGTACCTCGGAAATCCGAGGCAGGGGTCGATTAGAACCGTCTTAACGAGCTCTTGGGTAACGACGATCCGAGGGTTGAATCCGCTTTCCTGGCTCCTCGAATCGTTCGCTGGCGAACACGGATCGGTTGCATTGCGACAAAATTTTCGCCGGTCATTTGAGAATGTTCGACGTCGCGCGTATTACCGCGATCAAACATCCACGGCATAACAGATCGCGTATCGTCGAATAATTAATACGTTACGGGGAAATTTAATTGGATTATGATAAGAAGGGTGAATTGGAACACGGTTCATCGGATCGATAATGCGAAACAGGGAGGATTTTCGTTGGGACAACGTTAATTATAAATCGCTTTGCGAAGAGGAGAATGGAAGAATCGTGGGTGTGCGAGGCTAAGGGACGAGGATAAAGGGATAATAAGCGTCGAGGTCACCCGTTGGGACAATTAGGCGAACAGAAAAGTTCCATCGCAGTACTGCGGCCTCCTGACCGCCCCTATAAGAGTCAGAATGGCAGCTACTAGATTTCTCCATTACTCAAAGCCGTCCGTGCCTTTTCGGGAATTAACATATTATATTGGACTTACAGCGTCGCGACGGAGTATCGTGCGTCGAACAGATGTGTCTATGCTAGTAACCAGAGGAACGATCATTTTTATCGATTATTCAAGCACCAACAGCCGATTGCACATTCGCACGCAAGGTGTTCGAGAAGCGAGATATCAAACGCAAGAAGCGGATAATCGCAAGTAGGTCGTTTCCTTTCTTCAAAAAGTATCATCAATATTGTAGGATAGCGAAGCTGGTCTTGAGACAGCGAAAATTCACGAAAGAACAAGAACGCGATAACGCAAACACAAAATTCGTAAACTGATTTAACTTAGGGAAAGGACACCAAGATAACGAAAACACACAAAGACGCACTCTTTTAAAACTCTCTTTCCAACACCAAGCGACTCACGCTTGTGCTGGTCACAACCGATTTCCAAGGACTCTGTTTTGGTTGTCAAGGCCCACGCTTTTATGCTTTCCTTAACCAACGCTTCACCTCCCCGTAGAGGAGTCGCGCAACTTAATTTTGTTATATAGAATAACTTTTCGATTTGCTTCCAGAAGATATGAATCGGTTTACAATTTGTTTTTGTTGGCAATAGCCAATTCGCGATTCCTTTTGGTATCCTACAATATCGTATCGTCAATATCGTATGAATAGAGATCGTATAGCGTAGAAATTTAATTCCATTTCGTTCGGAGCGATATATCGCGCGAATGAACAACGATCGCGAGAATTTCCACCTACGCGTGGTTCATCGAAAACACCTAGTTTGACGTTTCTGGGAAGTCATCGTTACGTCGGTAATTAAACAAGCGTAACCGATCGGCTGTGTGTTTATTTCGGATCGAAATGGTGTATCATGAATCCGTTATTCGTTGATCATACATTATGAAGAGAAACTCAGCTGCATTGAGCCACGATAGTTTTGGTTTATGGTGTTCCGATCATCCCTATAGAGTTGCACGCGGTAGCGGCGGCAGCGGCGGTGTACATTTGTACACGTAATTTGCATTCGTCGCAATACGATAAGGTTAAATAGTTGCTCCCGACAACCGCAGTCCCAACATTCTAAACATACAATCGATTCGCTTGTATTATTACGTTCGACTGTAACAATCTATGATACTCTTGTCCATCGTTATCGCATCGATGCTTCTCGCGGTTCGATAAATGTACATCTAATCGCGAAATTAATGAACGATTGCGACATAAATGCAGATATTGGGAAGAAAGAAAATGGCGGAATCGCGGGACTGGTCATTTCGGCACAGCGATCGGGGAAAATTTCAGCCAATCGAAATTCGCCGATAGATCTGGAACGCGAACGAGCGCAAGTTTTCGTGGCTAATCCTCAGAAAGCTAGGGCTGCAACGACGTCGATGCGCTTTCAGGTGGACGACGTGTGCGGCCGTAAAGTCGTGAAACGACGTCCCGACGGCCCTTTCCATGTGCGGGTAATCCTCGTAGATTGGCGCGGTGCAATAATTCGTCTCGTATCGGCCTCATGGGGGCTCGGCCGGCTCGGGGGGTTGGAAGGGTGCTAAACGACCGATATTTTTTTCCTCGAGAAGCGCCGGTCTCGATTTGTTGCATGCCTTACCTGTCGTGCATCCTATCTTGCGCTCATCGTGTGCCAGTCGCCCTGAACATTCTCTTTATGCGCCGCCACCTTTATGCATCGTTAAAACAGGCAGCCGCGCCGCGGCAGTAGTAAAACCGCAGTAAATCGATGTATCGTTGCGACGACGATGCTTAAACGTGGCAAAGGGTGAATGGGAAGCGGACAAATGAGAAAAACGAAAAGCGGAGCAGAGCTCTGCCTTTCGAGTGCCAAACTCGTGATTAATGAACGGTGCGAACCCGAAAACGTAAAAATATCTCGCAACTTTCAAACGGCACGTTCTAAAAATTGGTTCGAAAGATGTATTTTTCGTAATCGGATTTCCTGCATAGAGAGATATCCGTTTGAACGTCGAACTGAGAGTCCGATGCGCCGAATATCGGCAAAGAGTCATTATAGAACAGTTTGATTCGAAACAAATTTTTCATCCGGTAGTTAATTAGGAAAATGGAGCATGATATAGTACCAATTTATTTAACATTCTTCCATTTATAACATTGATACACAGCTCTGAAAAAGACGAGTTCCAAATTACCTGAAACTATCATCATGCAATATAAATGCTACGTCTATTATTACTGAACAGTAAATGAAACAATGAAATCCAATTAGTACACCTTAAATTGAATAAAGTTTCAAATCTCTGTTGAAATATTTTCGTAGCTACACCGCTTTGAACGTATTTAATATTCATTACACCTTTTCGTTATACATTCAGCACGATTCAGAGTTCATTCTTCTGACACTTTAAAGCTTGAAGTCTCCTCTACATTTCACAGAAACAATTAGCAGCAACTAGCAGCAACTTCCAAAGATATGTAAATAAAAAGATGCTCCAACACCGACCGGTATCTGAGCTCTGCACTCCAGTCACTTTATTTGACACTTGAAAATGAAGGAAAAATTGAGAGACCATTTAGAAAACTGCCTTTCC